AAAAATGTTGTTCTGATGATTCAAAAAACAACCTTCTATGTCATTTTAGAGCAATTATATCAAAATACGTTAAATATAATCAAAAGATTAAAGAAAATGATCAAAACTTCTGATAACTAAAGTTCTGATTAGGTTGTTGGGAGATGACAAAACGGATCAGCTATATCAGGAAAATAAAGAGCCCTTCATAAGAAATACAGACATGAGTTTGTAACAGATCTCTCTCTCTCTCTCTCTCTCTCTCTCTCTCTCTCTCTCTCTCTCACTGTGAGACAAGGCCTCTCGCCCTCATCCAGTCTCCACCTCCAGGCATTTCCCTCCAATGGAGGGAGCAACCAGCAGCTGGAGCTATTTATATCCTCAGGTCCCCTAGCAGAGAAGCAGTTTGACTCAGCACGACCGGATTAGGATTAACTTGTGCTTCAAATCTATGATATTGATATTATGAATGTCCTGCTCAGGTCAGGTCGATGTAGGTAAAATTACTTATCTTAACATCGTTCATTGCTTTGTTGATATTCATTATCTTGATATTCCTATATTCATTCTGAAATTGATTTTTTTTGTTCTACATCATCATTTCAACCTAACAAACACTGTAGCCAATTACAGTAGATTCATGATGTTTAAGGCAAGAAGTAAGATACAGTGAAAATCTGCACCATTATTTAAAAAAGTAAAAAAGATACATAAAAAAAAAGTACCTATCCATATCGTGTTAAAACATTTTAATACATACAAAAAATATATATTTTTGAGTCATGACACAGTTAAATTGCTGAATCAAAAACTAATCAGATCAAAAAATACAAATAACCCAGCCCTTAAACGACATAAAACAAAACAAAAACTGTTATTGGTTGATTTCATGTTGATTAGATAGTATATTCCTGTCTAACTGGGCAGTTCTTGGGCTGAATAAACAGCAAACCGATGTTATACCTTATAGCGATAATCAGAAGTTTGTCTGTGGGACTAATGGAACGGTATAGACCTCTCAGCAGATGGTTTGAATGAAAGCTTTCCCTCTTTAAAACTTGAGAAAACTCGAACTAAAAAGAGACGGACATACTGAAGGTGAATGAAAACAGTGCTGCATGCTGGGCTGCTCTGTGAAGCCACCGGCCGACTGTCACATGTGCTTTTAATAGGGAGAGGAGGGGTGAGCAATGCCCATTCAAATGTGAATGGCACTAGGCGCGTTTCCATTACAGATTTGCGCAAAACTTTTGCGATTTTTTCTAAATGTCGATAAAAAACTATTGCGAAATGACGGCGTTTCCATTAACTGATGTTATGCGACTTTTTCCCCTCTCGCGATAAGTAATTTAAACATCAACGGGTAGGTTTATAGCCTATATCCCTATATCACAGCCACCGCACCACCACACTAGACATTATTATTAATGGAAGGAGACGTGGTGTGTTATCCAAGCATTAATGGCAGGGAAAGACCCGTATACTGCGAACGGCATAAGGAGTTTCTGGGTGTTTCTCCCTCATTTCTGCTCCGAGGTCTGATTGTGGCATTTCTTTGAGGTTTAGAATCCAGTATTCCTGTAGCCTATTGTTTCTTTTATGAATTTAATATCTGTCCAAACGGTCAGTGTACATTTGTGTCCATTCGTTTTTCCTTATTTAACCCGTATTGCAAAACGAAAAATGAACGGTGGTTGTTTTTTTTTAAATGCAAAGTTGAACACCAATTTTTTTTTTTTAATTTAAACTGTACACAAATGCTGCGGAAAAAAAAAATCGACTAAATTTCAGATGTTTGTTTATGACTTTTTGCCCCTTTACTAAACATTTAAAATATTCCCAACTTAATACAATTTTTTTTTAGATTTTAATGGTTTTCTAAGGCCAAATTAGAACCTGAAAATTATATTTTTCCCGCAGTGCTGAATGAGAAGAGCCATATTTAGGCCTATGTCTCTGGAACCACAGCCTACAGAAAGGTGATTTAGGAGTTATAGGCTAATGATAATAAATGTGTCTGAAAGAATAACGAGGCATTTTAATTTTATTAATAAACTTGTTTTCTAAATTAGTGTCGGCTAAAAACATTTCCATCTCCGCTGAGGCGCGCCGCGCGAATGCACCTTTAGAGAGAAATGCACCTTTCATACGGATTACATAATCAGAAGGTATTAGCTTTCGATTCGAATTTGTTCGTTTTAAAGTGGACATTTCAAGCTTTAGCTTTTTTCACGGAGATCATGAAAGCGCGCATGATTGTTTTATTTTATTTTACAAAAGCACAACGTTTTCTTGTTATTTTGAGTTTACACAAATAAAAGCATAGTTGCGAATAATGTATTATTATTTTCTGTATGACCAGAAATTATAGAGTATTTTAAGTTGTTTTCACTGTTGATAGGAAAACGCAAGTGTTCGCGCCCGCGTCTCCCTGCCTGCAGCGCGCGCTCCACACTCTGCACAAACACTTGGATATGCGTCAAAATCTTGTGTTTCTTTGTGATAATCTTAGCCCTGTATTATTATTGTCTAACCATTATGAATGACATTTGACGAATTGCTTTGTTCCTTTTTTTGGATAAAAGCATCTTCTAAATATGTAGCCTAATAAATGTTATAATAATGATGATAATTATTAGCCCATTATTATTTGCGTATACCACGGACGGACCCCAAACACACCGCGTCTTCTAAGTCAGGTGACTGTAAATGCGCAAAAACTGTTTCCATTGCAGTTTTGCGAAATATTCCTTTTTCGAATTGCCTGAAAAACCTCCTCATGCGAGCGTAAAAACTTTTTTGCGATAAATGGGAGTTTTTGCGAAATTGACGTGTTTCCATTGAGCGTAATTTCAATTCGCAATTTCAATTTGCGCAATTTGAAGGGTAATGGAAACGCGGCTACTGAGGTAGGACACTGCAGGCTCCTGGATGACTAAGAGAGAGAGCGAGAGAGAGTGTGTGTGTGTGTGTGTGTGTGTGTGTGTGTGTGTGTTTGTTTTTGTGATATATGAGGACACAAATGTGTATAATGACATGCATATTACACTGGTATTACAACTTACACGTGATATATGAGGACATTGCATGAGTCCTCATATTTCAAATAGCTTAAAAAACATAAAAAACAATGTTTTTTTTTAAATGTAAAAATGCAGCATGTCTCCTGTGATGGGTAGGTTTAGGGATAGGGGCAGTGTAGGGGGATAGAATATACAGTTTGTCCAGTATAAAAATCATTACGCCTATGGAATGTCCTCATATATCACAAAAACAAAGCTGTGTGTGTGTGTGTGTGTGTGTGTGTGTGTGTGTGTGTGTGTGTGTGTGAGGGGCTGTGCACACACTGGCCAACACATTCATGACTACCCCTCTTCAATGACACAAAGATACTGAAACACCAAAATCATCTCTAAAAATCCCTCACTTATATATATACACTATATATAAGTCGCTGTTAGGATTTAACTAGGCACATGCTTAAAAGTCTATGATTGGTTCATTATTGCAGTGATTATTGTGTTTCTATCATGTTATATGTTTGGCAACAGTTCTTCTAACCCTAATTGATGGAGTGTGTAGCTTTTCTTTTCTTAAACAACCATGTAGGAAAACACATCATGGCCATATTCCAGGATGACAATGTCAAGATTCATCAGGCTCAAATAGTGAACGAATAGTTGGGAGGAGCATGAAGAATCATTTTCACACATGAACCGGCTCCTCTGAGTCCAGAGCTTAAATTCATTGAAAGTGTTTGGGATGTGCTGGAGGAGACTTTACAGAGAGCTGGACTCTTGCATTGTCAATACAAGATCTTCACCAAAAAAATTTATGCATCTCCTGATGGAATAACATCACAACATTTATTTCCATCAAGAGGTGCATACATTTGTTTTGGTAAAGTTTTAGTAATTTTGTTTTGTGCTTTTGCCATTTTTATTAGTACTTTCTATATAGCTTTAATTTTTAACGTTTTTTTAAGTTTTAGTAGTACTTAAACTTGGTATGTAACGGAAATAAATAAATTAAAGTTGAAGTTTTCCATCAAATACTTATTTTTTATTTTAATTTCAGCTTTATTTTTTTCAAATATCGATGAATGATTTTTAATAGTATTAGTTAACAATAACAAGAGAGATACTGTAGTTGTAAATTCAACAGTTATGTTATTATGTTAAATAAGCATGTGGTTATGCCTATTGGATAATCCAGTGAATTAAATACTTACAAATGAAATACTTATGAAAATAAGATCACGAACAACCACGTTATATTTATTATATTCAATTAATAACATAAAACATAGCTAGTTTTGGCTGTTAATTCTGATTGGATGAACCATTTTTCAAAGCCATTGTAAAATAACCAATAAACGTGCACATGTGACCTCATCAGTTGAATTCTATATGAATGCGGCAAGTTGCGATGTTACTTGGCAACCGTAAACAACAAAACTGCACTTTGCAGTGCCAAACACCTCGTAATAACAAGTTCCTTGTCTTGACTCGTTCGGGACACGTCCCGCTTTGCATTTGCATTAATCCATGTTTCTGTACCGCTCTCAGGTGTAAACAACGTAACGCAGTCCTGCCCACTGAGTAGACGCATCTACCACGGTATAAACGGTACAGCAGGATCTCTACCGGCTGACACGTCCAACATCACGCCGCCCAGCCCTACTTTCCATCCTCACCAGACAGATTGTCCAGGACAGAGACCCTGCGCCACAAGCACAGCCAAGCGGAACACCTCTCTCTCTCTCTCTCTCTCTCTCTCTCTCTCTCTCACACACACACACACATACTCGGAACAAAACAGTGACAATAAAGTGCATTGAAAAGCTCTCATCACTCACCACTCAACAGAGAGCGTTCCAAGGATGCAGCGCGCGTGTACACACACCCACACAAGAGTGTTAGCGTATCTCAGCACCATGCAATAAAGCCATAGTCTTCACACACCCGTCCACCCACTCAACCTCCCTCACTCAGAACACCCTGTACAGAAATGGCACTTACCCATCAGCCCCTCAAGTCCAGAGCAGGGAGACGGCAGACAGTGAGCCGGAGGGGTTACGATGTGCTCGATGCCTCTAACAGCGCTGACTGTGGCTCTCTCTCGGTCTTTCACATTCCCCGTCTCACTCTCACTGACTCTCTTCCCTCCGGCTGTGTCTGTATCTCACTCCGTCACCCTTGCCCCTCCCCTCTCTCTCTCTCTCTCTCTCTCTCTCTCTCTCTCTCCCGCCCTTCCTCTCAGCTGGTGACATCACAGAGCCGTTGCAGGCATGCTGAGTGTTTATGTGCACTGCTGTAGTTTCCTGGAACACGGGGCAGATTCACAGAAGCTCCAAGACTCTCTCTCTCTCTTGCTCTCTCCCTTGCTCTCTCCCTCTCATTAGCACACCACTCCGATGTTTACATAGAGCGTAACGGTGACCACCCACTTTTTCAGTGGCTTTAGTTTGGGAAGAATGTTTCCTCATTCATTTTCTCCAAACGATTCTGCAATAAAGAGCTCGAAACCAAACCAGCAAGCTCTTACGTAAATGACAACAATCATTAGGTTCAAACGAAAAAAGGTGTTTGAACATCTGGGAAAAAACAGAAGCGTTTAATATGAACCATTCAATCCATAAAGCACTGTGGATAAGGTACAGTAAGTGAAATAATCAGAACTAAATGGTACGATATGTGAAAATGTTGACTAAGTTGAAAAAGTCAAATATAAGTTTGAGTTTTCAGAATATAGCTTAAAGGGATAGTTCATCCAAAAATGAAAATTACCCCATGATTTACTTCAAGCCATCCTAGGTGTCTTTCTTTCAGACAAATACAATCGGAGTTATATTAAAACCTGTCCTGGCTCTTCCAAGCTTTACAACCCTTTTGTGCGATTAATCGCGATTAGATTTTTAAATCTATTGACAGTCCTAATAAATACATTTCTAGTCTAGTTCTTCAATAAGGATTTGGCATTTAAAGACAGTAAAAAAATTACCAGTAAATGAAAAAAAAGAAAATAAGTGCGATTTTTTCTGTATAAAGCTCATAGATCACTTATAATTTTCCACAGCTCATGTTGTCTGGAGTTTTATGTCAACTGAAGTTTCTTGAAAATATATTTTTGCAGTGTTTTGTCAGTAGAACAATCCAAAAACACATTAAATAACAGTGCAACCCACTGAAGAGATGCACGTCTATCCCTCATAGCCTTTCATTCCCATTAAAAATCAAAGATGGCGCTGCAGTGAATAAGGTCTATAGGACCACTGAAAAAAAAAAATCTCTCAACATCTTAAAGTAATCTCAGAGGTTTGAAATAACACAAGGTGTCAAGTTTCATTTTTGAGCTGACTAGGAATAGGGAAAAAAAACAACATGTGAGGACATCTCATCTGACTATATATTTAACATTCCCATTCCCCGCTGGCTTTATGCAGAGCTCATTTACAGTTCCTCTTGAGTTTTATTGATTGATCGATTGACTCAGGAATATCTTGACGATCATGAGCTCAGACCCTGTGTACGGCTATTGATCATCTCCAGCACACTGTTCAGGGAAATCCCATAACTCTAAAAATACTAATATCCCATTCCCCAGCCTAGTTTGTCTGTCACCCAATTAATCTGGAAGACTTAGGTCACCATTGTTGGGAAGAAAAAACAACACGCATGATTAGCTCTTTCGTCTTTGAATAATTGAAGGTAATAAGGAAGCTGGAGAACGAGGTGCTTGAGAAAAATCACAAATGAGAACATTAGAGCCGTGATGGATGGAGCGTGGTCGGGATTTTGAGCGGCAGACTCCATCATGTGACGCCACACACGCCCCGTCCATGAACGTGGTATCTTTCGGAAGATTGTGTGTGTGTGTATCCAAAGGGTTTGGAAGAAGTGAAGAGGAGGTCCATCTTCACAGGACAACCTGCCTTGACAGGCCACGTTGGTAGAGCCTGGCGCTTAACAAAGCAGAAAATCAATGGCACATTTACTTGGGCTCAATGTTAATCAATACGCAGTGTGTACAGATATGGGCACAGAAAGACCAAGAGACAGGGAGAGAAAGAGAGCGCTGAAATATTTATCCTACAGATCCCTTTCATACAGAGACGCCAAGCAAACAATACCACACGGCCAACACCCAAAACGAAGTGCTGTTGGATCCTTTACAAAGAGCCTGGAGCATTAAAACTCAGCTCAGCCCCAAAATAAGGAGAGAACACAATCCCAACTCTCACATAAACAAACACGCAATCAGATAATTCTCTTCTACATCACAAAAGATCAAATGTAATCAACATTCCCTCTTCTTCGGATTAGTCCGAGCACTTTAGAACAAAGGACAGTGTAGTATAAATTAGGGATTGGCAGTATAGCTTAAGTCATATTTCATAACACTAGGAATAATTTTATGAATGCATTACAAAATAGTTATTTTTGCTGAAGAAAAAAAAAACACACACGGTTGATTAATATTACTTCTGGAGTTAGGCAATTTGAAGGAAAAAAAATTTATATTAAAAATAAGTTCTGGGAGCCGTTTCTTTGAAATAGAAACAGTCCAACCTGTGCCGTTAAGGCACAAAACATCCAGCCCAACCAGTCTCATTTGATTTGTTTCTGTTTAACTAAAATGAATCAGTTCATAAGAATAATTAAAAATATATATATTCATATGAATTGATTCTTTAGTTAAACAAAAACATAGACACCAATCAGTGTCAGTGAAGTCTGATTCCAGAAAGAATGATTCTTAAGAACTGATACTATTTAGTGAAATAAAAACATACAGCCCAACCAGTGCATATTGATAAAAAAGATTCTCAAAAAAACTGATTCATTTTAGTGAAACAAAAACATGGTCCAACCAGTGCTGTTAGATTACAAAAAATATATAAAAAATCAAGAATCAAAAACATTCAGCCAAACAAGTGCATTATGATCTTCTTTTTAGTGAATGAAAACATGACGATCGATGGGATGGATGGATGGATGGATGGATGGATGGATGGAAACACAACATGACGATGGATGGATGGATGGATGGATAAGCTCTATTAAGTCAATCAAAAGCGTGTGAATCAGTCAGAACAGTTACTGAATTAATCTGACTCACTTTACTGAATGGCATGTTGTTACTTGCTTATTTTTTCCTTTTTTGCTCAAGTATATATGTAAGGTTTTTATGCTCATCATGGCTGCATTTATGGATCAAAAATACATTAAAAACAGTAATACTGTGAAATATTATCACAATTTAAAATAACTGTTGTCAATAACTGTAAAATGTCATTTATTCCTGTGATGCAAAGCTAAATTTTCAGCATCATTACTCCAGTCTTCAGCGTCACATGATCCTTCAGAAATCATTCTAATATGCTGATTTGGTGCTCAAGAAACATTTATTATTATTATCGATGTAAAAAAAAAAAACAGCTTAATATTTTTCAATAGTGTTTTTTCAGGTTTTCATTGTAGACCCTAATCCTTTGGAAGTTAGTGTAGACTACTGTTTAAACATTTGGGGTAAATACGATTTGGAATGTTGAAAAGTAATCACAATCTGAATTAGAACCCTATAGCAACTGCATAGCAACATTTTAACAAACACTCAGAACACCTTAGCAACAGCAAAGGAACGTCCTGGAACATCCCACAACACCCTGGTGAGTTTAGCAAAAGGCAGAACTCACTTTATCTTCACATAATGTAAAAATCTTGTTTGACCTGAATGATCAGAACATGTCGAAGGCCATGACGCCAACACATCTTCACTACAAACTGATTCCAGAGATAACAGGCACGTAAACACACGGCAGTGGACTAAAATAGCCCATCTGTAAACCTCAGTTGGGAACGAGTGAGAGTCAAGAGTTCTAGCAGTGATGTCAGCGAGGTACTTTGATCAACAACAAAAGTGCCCATTGAAAAAAGCACCTGGGCTTCATGCATGGAGCTCGGCCAAAAAGAGAGCCAGAGCTCATGCAAAGCAGGTCCTCTCCCCGAATCATGCCATCGTGAGTGGGAAGGCCTTTTCCATGACAGCTTTACAGCCCATGATGCCTCAGAAAGCTCCAGGATAAAAACTCCTTCATCCTGCCTGGATTATTCTAGTTTTAACAACAGATCTGCTCTGATAAACAGGGCAGAAATAGAAAGCACTTAAAAGGCAGTGGAAGAAGAGAAAGTTTACCAGGATGTGTGGAGGTGGAACGGAAATCTTGTTGGCCTTCCACTACACTGTACGAGTTAAAAACCACTTAAAGCACAGGTGCCTTAAATATCCTATTCTGTACGTAAACAACTTCGATGTATAATTCAAGTGCCTCAAAACCTAGTAATGGGGTTCTGAAAATAAGCGTTGACAGTCTTTAGAGATCTTGCAGAGGTTTCTCAGTGAACTGTGAACTGTCTTTCTGTCTTTTCTGTAACCTCGGTTTCTTGAGAGCCGGGAACGACAGCTACGCTGCGGGAACTCCTCCCTTCTCCACTTTTGTTGAAATCTTATGGGCTAACGCCAGCTTGGAACAGCTGGCCAATTGTCGCGAAGTATGCAAATACTGACAGGCGCAACAATTGCGTCAGAATCACGACTGAACGCTGCACAGCTGATTGAACAGCGAAAACGCCGGCTAATGCAATTTATAAGCACAGCGTCAGCGGCCGTAGCGACGACAACTGTGAATATACGCGGTTAGATCAGAATAGCCAGTTGCACTGAAGGATACAGGGCAACATAACGGCATAAACACATATCGGTATGTACATAAGCGGCAACGACTGTGCAAACCCGTAGTCAAGACTCAAGACTAGGAGATAATTGAGGATAATCACTCAACGAAAGCACTGTTCTGTGAAGATCAGCCGGTTGCAAAACATACAACCCTAAAGACGCGCCTACATGGCCCATGAAGAGGCGATAGACCTCGACGAGTGAGCTCACGTTAAGGGGTCTTTCCTCCTGAACGTGCACTAGTGAAGTGCTCGGTTGATGGGTCTCAGGTCCAGTATCAGACGGAGTCTTGGGCACCACGAAATAGCAGCTGTGCACTTCCATTCTCAGAACGGGGCGTTTTGAGGCAAAGTCAGTGACGGACCCACGCCTGACGCGGGGTGGTCTGCGTCTGAACTTAAGAGAATACCTGTTGAATTATCCCCAGTAGCCAAGGTGAAA